GCCGCCTCGGTAATCCGCGTCGTCGGCCCTACCTTCTGCAGCGCCGGCTGGAAGGCGGAAAGCCCTACAGTATGCGTACCTTGCTCGGGGTGCCTTGGTCATGCACGTTGCTGGGGCTGACTTGTAGAGTCCTGCAGAATTAGGCGTGAGCCCAAATCAACTGATGTGATTAAGATTGGTGCTTTTTTTTTTTTTTTTAATGAACTTCAGTGGACGTTTAAATGTAGTTCGTGCATCGGAGGTCACAGCCACGTACCAGACCTCCTTCCTACACCCTTTGCCCCTCACCCGAGAAAGTAGAGTAATTCTCGGGCGTGTTATGTCTGCGCCAGGATGAGATCTGCTCAGCAGCTCTTTTAGGGGACTGTGGTGGAAGGAGTCAATGGAGAGATCCCCAGACTCTTCAGGTGCTCTCTGGCTTTTCCGCTTTCCATCCCTCGGAAGCATCTGACCTTTCTGCTCTCCTGATGCGAGAGGTTTACACCGTCTGTAAACACCGATGCAGTCGGTGGCTTTAGAGGGTGGATTCTGCTGCTGTTCGTTTCTATTAGCAGAAGATGTTTTGGATAACGAAAGTGTTTAACTGGGAGAAAAGTGAGTGTTTTGAGGATAGCTGCAGTCGCTTTATCGGTGTTGTCCAGACAAACAGGGTGCTGCTGACTTCTGTGAAGATGACCAAAGTGAAGACCTTCCTTTTTGATACGTTTTTTCTTAGCCTGGAAGTGATGTTCATGAAATTGTAGCACTGTCTCTTCTAAGCATTTGTATGTTCTGTATACATACATGTATGTTCTCAATACAGAAAGTATGTTTTCCTCGTTTGAGAGTAACCTTTTTTATTAAACAACAAGAGTGGGTACATTTTCTTTAAAGTTTTTTCCTTGCGTGTGTTGTGTTATGTTATTTAAATGTATTGACTTTCTGCAAAAGTTTTTGTGAGATTGGCTTTGACAATCTGAATTAATATAATTGAAATTTCTTCTTCCAGGTTTTGATAGAAGCTTGTCTCTGGAAGACTGGAAAGGAATAAAGGTCAGAACATTTTAATTTGACTAATTACATTGATCATTTTTCAGATCAAATAAATCCTTGTTAAAATAATGCAAATAATAATGGAAATCTAAATATCAATAACTGGGAAATCAACTTCATGGAGCCGTCTGGGTGAGGCTGAAAAGACTTCCAAATCACAGTTAGAAAATTCATTCTCCACAAATGAGAACACACATAAAGTGTTTCTGCACTAGTGAGCCACAAAGCAGTTCTATTTGTAAAGGTTTTTAACTTAAGTGAGTTTGAAATTGTGACTAAGAATTAACTCGCATGACTCTGTGCACTGTGGGCTGTAAACTGTTCATACGTGGGTAAAAAACTGCTCTGAGGAAGTAAAGGACTATCATTATGCATTTAAAGTGGTATCTCACACTGCATATTGGAACAAGGCATACATTCTCTATTTTGTTAATTTATTTTTTAGAACATAATGACTACTTTGGATGATAAACTACTTGGTGAGAAGCTCCAGTATTATTACAGCAGTAGTGAGGGTGAGGACGAAGACAGTGAGAAAGAAGATAAAGAAGGGGAGAGCACCATTCCTGAAAGCATTGGGGAAGTAGAGCTTAGCAGCGATGGCAGTGCAGTCAACACAGGTATCATATCAAACTAATTGTTTTGTAAATACTTTGTTTATTGGAAGATTCATGTTTTTCTAAAATGCATTTTTCCAAAGGAAAGTCTTGCTTTTATGCATACTTGAGTCAGAGATTGATCATTTCCTGGCTATAGTGCTATAGTCTAACCTTAGGTTTAATAGCTGGTTCTTTATTTTAATGTTTGACTTCTCCTCTGAGAGACTCCAGCGTTTTATCTAAAGCGGTTAGGCTTCGTATACAGCGCTGATTGGTGCAATTTGCTTGATAGTGCATACATTTCTTTCCTGTAAGACACGCAGTTGTTAACTGCTAACAGTCCTAGTGTAACAGATGTAGGTGCTGAACATGAGGAACAGACAGAAAGTGGCCGGGCTCTCGCAGAGTAGCGTTCTCTACTGCCAGTGCCAGAGGCACAGTACTAGTCTGCGTGGATCGGTGGTGTGATCCCGAGGGTATTTGTTATGTTCTTAGGAAAGACTGTCCCTCTGTGTTTTACGGTTTCTCTAAGAATGATGAAAAAAATCTTCTTCCTGCATGTGTTCACATCTTTCACCTGAAGGAATAATGGAAGAATTACAGTACTAAACTGGCATATTTAGAGAGGACCTGAAAAAGTAACTCCACTGGGCCTCAGCAGCACGGTAACAGCAAGGCGCAGTCTATAAGGATTAACGCTATCGTACATTGCAGAAGGTACTTCTGTACAAGAGCATTGGCAGACTTAATTTACTTTCCCATCATTATTTTTGTTCTTATGAAAAGCCATGCTAACTATAAGGGAATTCTTGAGGGCTGGTGGTTCTATTTCAAGAGCACAGATATTAATCTTTGGAATAATCTTTGAGACAATTACGAGAGTAGCCTAGTTAGATAAGCTGTAGTCTTCTTAGGGAAAAAAATAGATACAAGCTCAAGGACATGTAAATGGCAAATTTCTTCTTTTGTTTCATTTCAGCATTTTGCACAGTTTACAAAAAGTTTATGACAGGGACACTATTTTACTGCTGACTTATAAATTATTACTTATAAAAACAATAGGTGTAATTTTATTACCCTTTTATACCAAGTACCTACATATTTAATTTCAGGTCCCAAAGGAGTCATTAATGACTGGCGAAGATTCAAACAACTGGAAACTGAACAGCGGCAGGAGCAGCGCAGAGAAATGGAACGACTCATTAAAAAGTTATCTATGACATGTAGATCTCACTTAGATGAAGAGACTGATAAGCAGAAGCAGAAAGAGCTTCAGGAAAAAATCAATGGAAAGGTAGCGTGGCAGAAAGGAATTGAAATGCCACTTAAATGTTTAACATATTCAGTTTCATCATTTGTGTACATGAAGCACACAGGAATCCTTGTTCTATCAGTAGATATCTCTTGTTTGTCCCTGGTGAACAGGAACACAGCAGCGGTATGAGAGGCATGCTATAACTGTGTTTGCCAGGTGTTGTCAAGTTTCATCATTTTGCATTTTAGTGGTATTCCAGGAGCACTGTGTTTGCCTGTGTTAAGAAATAAGCAATTCGGCTGCTATACCGAAGAAGTCCAAATCATTTTCCCAGATTTCCCTTATCTGTTTATCATGTAAGTCAACTTCAGGGGATTAATATGAAGAGTTGTACAGCAAACCTATGACTACTGCCTCCCATGCCTTTTTAAAACAAAAAAACAACAAAAAAAAAGAATTTAGGAGTCCGTACTAATTTTGTATTTAGTAAGTGGATGTTGAGAATTTAGCTTTGACTTTGAGCTCCAAAGATAGGAAGCGTTAGAAATAGTGAATGGTTTTCATCAGCTGGGCTGTGTAACTAGCTCTGATAGTTCTAGTCAGAGAAGTTACTGGTTAGCACTCAGTGTTTCTGGCTCTCAGGTGATGAACATTGGCCACACTGTCCTAAACCTTGAGTGACGCAAATATTTTTAACGAAGCAAGTGAACAGATATGAAATACATAAAATCCCGTTAACTTCAGTTCTACAGACAAGATAGTGCATTTGGTTGCCACAAAATGTTAACTGAAAAACTAAATGAAAAAGCTAATGAAAAAGAAGCTAGACTTAGGTCAGGCACAGTATCTAAATCAGCGCTCAAGGCTTAGTGAAAGCACATAGCCACCATTAACCTGAATTAAAGTGGGAGCACGGAGCAGCCTCTTGTGTTATTAGTGCAGCTTGTGGAAACTAGAATAGCCAAGGCTGAAATCGCTGTTCCCACTGGACATGGTTTCTAATTAGGTCAAAATGGAGTGTAATACAGAGCGTGCTTGAGCCTTCATGGGTTGCACTTTGCTGTTATTAAAGATGAGTGACCTACATTAATCCTCTTGATTTAAATTCTCATTATATAAGTGACCCATATAGTGAGGCTGATCTTCTTCATGTATCTTTGTATGTGCTTTTTAGATGACAATACAAGAATATAACATGATTCACAACGATGAAGATGATGAGGAATTTTTACAGCGATACAGGAAGCAGCGAATGGAGGAGATGAGACAGCAGTTGTGCAGTGGGCAGCAGTTTAAACAGGTTTTTGAGATCACCAGTGGCGAAGCGTTTTTGGACACAGTTGATAAAGAGCATAAGAGCACACTGATCATGATCCATATTTATGAAGATGATATCCCTGGCACTGAATCCCTGAACGGCTGTATGATCTGCCTGGCTGCTGAGTATCCAACAGTTAAATTTTGCAGAGTAAAGAGTTCGCTCATTGGTGCTAGCACTCGCTTTACTAATAATGCTCTGCCAGCTTTGCTGATCTATAAGGCAGGTGAGCTCATTGGCAATTTTGTGCGAATCACTGACCAGCTTGGAGAAGATTTTTTTGCTGTAGACTTGGAGGCTTTTTTGCAGGAATGTGGTTTGCTTCCAGAAAAAGACCTAGTGCTCCTGACTTCTATACATAATCCATCTGCATGTTACAGCGAAGACAGTGATCTGGAAATAGACTGAACCACTTATACCGAGGGGCCAGTAGGTGTAGTTGTACTGTGGAATGTTCTTGTGCTAGGGATTGTTCTCTTTCTTCCTTAGTGTGGGTATGTATTCTTCCCCTTCATGCACTTTGACTTTTGCTCGTTAAAAATAACAGAAGGAATTCCTAACATTTTCTTAAATTCGTTCAGTGAAGTACACACTAGAACGGTCTTTCTGTTACGGAATTCAAATACATTTTACTAAACACGAAGTTCTAACACAATTCAGTAAGTTTAGGAGGTTGTGTATTGTCATCTCTGTTCTTCACATCACTTAGCATTTTTTTTAAAACATTTTGTTCTCAGGTCAACTATGTATGGTCAGTCTCCTTACAGGTTCCCTGAAAGAGGGTAATGTGAATACCAGGTGGATTGAGATGTGGCCACCTACTCACTGAGGCAAGAACTGAGACTGCAAGTAAAGTTTTTAAGCATTCAAGACTTTTATTAACCTGGAGGTGAACTGCTGTCAGTTAACAGTGCAAGGTCTCGTCTTCTGTTCCCCAGTTTGCAGTCCCATTCTTGGAGGTACCTTCTTGTTCTAACACCTGGCATCAAATTTTTGTTCCTTCCTTACTTAGAAATTAAAACAACCCCTGACTTCATCCTGAAAATTACTTTTCACCTGGAGAGAGTTCTTCCTTTAATCTTGCCCGAGACTTAAAGGAGAAGATCTTCTTTCTGTTACAGCTCTTAGTACATTCTTGGGGTTTAAAACCCTTAGAGTTCATAGTAGTCACTTCATCAGAAAATGATCTCTGCCTCTTAAGAGACAGGCTGTCTGTTCAACATGTGTGTTGAATAGCATCAAGGAGCGTTTTGTTGGCAAAATGCAGAATTAGGACTTGAATAACCTCAGAATTTAACATCTCTCTAAAATTACTAAATCAGTGCTGAAGTTCATTTCTGTCTGCCTTCATATTGTCTGCCTCAGCTGGGTCATCAGATGTATTTTGAGTATTATAACGCCCGCACTCGACAGATGACGGGAGGGCTTTGTAGGAAAGCAGCTTTGCGCCAAGAGGTCGCCGGTACAGGTGTTCAGGCCTGTTTTTTCACAGCCGATTCCCTTCTCTGAAGCTCAGAATCCAGTTTCCGCATCAGCAGGATCAAAAACGTTGCCACTGTCCTGGTTTTCCTCTGAGGGCAGCTCTTTGGGAGCATTGTTTGTCGTACCGTGCATCAGTGGAGTTCACCAACAGAAAAAATCTTGTGGGGTGGGGGTGAAACCTTTGTGAAGACCGCAGTTTTTCCCTGTGTCCTTTGTAAGAAATAACAAACGCCTCCTCAAAAACGTCACCACAGCTGTTTCAGTTGCCCAGTGACACTGATCTTAAAGTTCTCATCTTCCCCAAAAACACAGGGTGACTCCCACTTCTGGACCCAGAACAAAAGCCATCCGGCGCTGGCCGAGCCCATTTGTCTCTTTATGAACATTATTGCTACTGAATGCAGCAGCTGCACGTCCCGCTTCCCTCCTGAGCACCTTTGTCATTCCCTTTTGTCAGGCATTACGTTTTCATTAAGGTGTGTTTGTTTATTTTGTTTGCGCTCTACTTCCTTCATAAATCGGATCACAACATGGGGAAGTAATTTCCAGGGCTTCTGTTACGTTAAAGTTCACGCTGCCCCCGGCAGGTCTGGTGCTGCGTCGCTGTGAGATAACGTGGGTAGCACTCGAAGCCATGAGCAACGTAGAGCGAATGCCAGCACGAAACCCTCTGACGGGGCAGAGCGAGGTAAAGGCTTTACTGGCCAGATCACGGTGTGGCTGAACTGCTCAGACAGCACAAACGAGCACTTCGACTGTGTGCGCTCTGTACTTAGTTATTATTGCATCGTCTTCCACATAGTTAATTTGATATTACAACATGTTTGCTTTCTCATGCGTTACGTATTTTGCTTGTAAATTTTTAATTTTGAGGAAGGTAGGCTATCATTACGTAAATATGTGACCCAGTGTAATGATGTGTTTAATTATTTAATTTAATTCCAAGTGTTATGTAAGGCACTTTGGAACACCAGGAAGAAATTACCGTGTCTCTGTGTCTCTTACTAGGTTCTTAGTAAGAATGGATCTTAGGACAGAAAAAGAATTTGTAATTTGATCTACTTGAACTGTGTTTTAAAAAGTAGTATAAGCAGAAAAATAAATCATTTATAATTAAAAATTACTGAATTGGCACAAATTGTAGCTGAAATTGTCAGCTGAATTGTCTGCTGAAACTGGCAGAAATCCAGATTTTAAAATGTGCTAAGAGATTATTTCTTTTCATCTCAGAACTGCAGAAAAAATCCATGAAAGTTATATGAAATCAAATCATTGGGCATGGACATCAGCACATTTAAGAAAAAAACAAATTCCAAGGAGCTGTGATTTATATTCAGGATGAGATTCAGTGAAGTCTGTTGTGCAGACAGGATGCATATTAGCATCGTCATGAAGCCTGGCTTGGAGAGGGGGTTGGAGGAGAGCTGACTGCTTGAGTTGCTTTGAAGTTTTTATAAAGTGCTTTTTTTTTTGCCCCTATGACAGCAAAGCTGTAATGGGATCAAAACCTCTCCTGCTGCTCTATGTCGGATGGCCTGCAGCAAGGTGACTCCTGGTTTTTAATCTGCAGTGCTCAGGTATATGATAGATGGTTTACAGTGCCGACAGCAAAAAGGGGGAAAAAAAGTCTGAACCCAATTAATCGTTGATCTGGAAGAATATAATGGCGGGGGGGGGTAGAGAGAAGATGTGCTACAGTGCTGCTTGTCGTTCTCAGCACAGGCAGCCCAGACGTGAGAAGGAAGGCGAGGCTGGCGGCGGTGGCTGAGAAGCGTCGTGGCAGTGCTGGGCTCTGCTGCCGATGCTTTGGTCCATTCTTGAAGCTAAATCCTTCCAAACGGGCCAACTGGTAATCATGTGTCCTACAAAAACCAGCATTCTTATTATGCGTTAAACAGTGTAACAAAACTGATTTAGAATAGGTTAATGACTAATTTGTAAGTGTCTGTGCCCTATCCGTTCAATACAAATAAAAACTACAGCTCATTCTAACACTGTATCTGTAAATGTTTTAGTTGAAGTGTTAAAAGTCTGCTTTATTTCTCTAATTTTAAGTGTGATCCTGAACTGCAGATTAAGAATTGGGGTGTATTTATATAGACGTGGGGACTAAAGTGAAAATGAAATTGTATGAATGCCTACATCAAATAAAACTGTTTTGAAACATCCAACTTGGCATGGAGAGCGCCAGGTTTTCGGTTTGATCCAGGTGCCTCTCCTTCCCCCCAAGCCTTTGTACTCTGTCACCGTCAGAACTTCATTTAAATTGACGCATTCCTACTAAATGGTTTTGTTTTGAATAAAGGATGCTTTTTAATTTTGTCGAAGAGGTTGCATCTCTCTTTCCTGGCCCAGCAGCTTCCCTAGCACATGGCGCGGTTCTTGGCAGAAAGCTGACAGGTTGTACCGCGCGGGCTCTGCTGCGGCGGGAGGTGGAAGTTGGGCGACGGATGGCTGAAGGGGCTGTACGCGCGGATGTTTTCTCGCTAGACCTTGCCTTGGCCAAGCGTTCTGCGTGCTGCTAGACGCCGGCTGACGTTAGGGAAGGTTGACTTGCACAGCCACTCTCCCCGGGCACTGAGCCACGGCTCCCTGGGCCTTTTGAGTGGGCAGGCGGCCCGGCCGGCCGCTGCCTGCGGGCGGATCTGCAGGGGCCCCGGCAGAACTGCGGGAAGGGGCGTCCAGAGGCAGCGCGGGGCTGGGCACCTGGGCGGGTACCAGCCCGAGAGCTCGCGTCCTTTGCCGTCTCCCGCTTTCTTCCCCCACCTCCTCTCACCAGCAATTCTGCGGCTTTTTTTAGTGCATCTGATGAAACCGCTCCGAGATAGAAACGTCGCTCGTGAAAGGCCACGGGAGGCCGCAGCCCCCTCGCCTCGCACTGCAGAGCTGTGCAAGCGTTCTTCACGCTAAGTTTTCCCATGCCAATCCGCCAGCATCTAAAAGCCCTCAGTAAAAGCAAACATCCTCAAATCTGCTCGGTTCAACAGGACGAGAGCGCTCAGCGAGAAAGCAGCCGGTCCCGCACAGTAAGGTTGGTACTTGCCACCTTTAAATGTTTTGAGACGTTTACACTGTTCATATGTGCAAAATACGACTGTAAGTTAACGCACGGTTAAGATCAAACAAGCAAGACTTTTCCTACTGAGAGGTTATGTGCTCTGCCTTTGCTGTGTCCTTTTTTTGTCCCATTTTCTATCTGCTGCTTCTCGGGCGTAGGACGAACATGCGGACGTGGCCCAGGTGGGCTTGGCTCTCCCCGCAGGTAGCGGCTCTCCGGCCGGTTTTGTGCGTCGCCCTGGCTGCAGCCTGGTCTGGTGTATGTGATTCACCCTTCTGATCAAGAAGGTACATGTACCAAGTCTAAGTCTTCTCTGTGTCTGATTTGCGTCTTCAAGAAGTACTATAAATAGGAGTTGAAAAAACACTTGTCAGGTAGGTTGCGTTGCCTCTGGGAAATGTTTTGTTTTGGAAAAAGCAGCCTGCTGCAGAGCGGGCGTAAAGGGAGCATCTGGGCAGCCAGAAGCAATGCCTTTTCACAGGAGGGCATAATCCTGCACTGGGAGCGAGGAGTGCGGCACCTCCTGGGTTTGTTCACCTTTAATGCCGTTCCAATACAAACAGCAGAATTTGGCCACAGAACGCAAATGCACAAGGAAATGCAGACGGCTGCTGGGCGAGGGCAGCAACGAAGCCACGGGATGAGCCGAACGCGCGCATTTGGTCGCGGTGCCGACCAGGGGCCAGGCAATAAGGGACAAGACTCAGAAAATAAAAGTTTACACTGATTTTTTTTTGGCCTCCAATCTAACCTCTTCTTTCTAAGACGTTCAGAAGATGCCTTTGTTGAAAATCCAAAGACGGGTTCCGTGCAGTCGCTGGCGTGACTCACGCCGCAAAGGGGCCTGCTGGGGCGGGCGCGGGGCAGCCCGGGGGACGGGCTCAGGCGGGATTACTTTTCCATTCAGCCTCAGGACCCTACTTGTTTTTGCCACCATGGGGTTTAGATGATTTTCCCGCGTGGATCTTGATCGTGCGTGGGGCTGGAGGGGTGCGGGCTGCCCGGAGAGGGCAACCCTGGAG